ACTGTGCGGGGGACTTTTTCCAGACTGCCAGTGGCAGTTTACAATCAACAGAGGAGAAATTTTACAGGTGCCCCCTCCCCCCAATTCCCAGTAAACAGGCCAGACCACCTCACAGTAATCTCGTGATGTGGGTTCTTTAACGTCCCCTGCCTAACCAAATTAACTAATTGACAGATACAAGAGACGGGATATATCTAAGGGGTATATTTATATATTACGGATATATCCTTTTCTAACCTTTTTGTATGAAACAAAAGCCTCAAACAGTGGAATTGCAATAAAATAGGAAACGTATTTACAATTGACCGGGTAAAATTAAAAGAAACTTAGGCAACAATTGATGGAGCCCAGAGGATTGAGGAACCACGAGGCTTTCGAGCTAGCCCCTTTATATCATTATAATATCACCATTGTTATTTATCATTATTATTTTTTTTGTTAATACTACTAGTTACTTTTAATGCTATAAATATCGTGCTATGTCATGAGCCACATGCAGTCTTTGATTGTCTATTTTTCACTTTCCTAAGTTTGTTGATTAATTCTCGGGTAAGTGTTCGCTATCTTGATCTTAAACTAAATAAATGCAAATTTCAAATGTTATTAGAATACAAATCTCATTGAGGACTGATCGCCAGAAAATGTTCTTCAATAAAACCATACAACTATACCTGCCATTAACTTTTCTCTTGCATTTTACAACTTTGTCATTAGACAATCTTCTGTAATTATTGCTCTGTTTTTTAACGTGTAATTATATTCAACAGCTTTGGTGTCGTCTTCTTCCACAAGGACAGTTTCGGTAGTTGTCTTTATTTCTCCCAAACGGACAACAATTTCCTTCTCTTTCTGCTTTTCTGCCTTACGCTTGAATTTTTTAAATATATTTGAACAATTTCCTACACAACAGCATTTCTTTAGATCTTCTCGAAAAGACTTATTGTAATAGCCAAACATTAGGGGATTCAATATCGAACTTGTAAATGTAAATACATCTATAATATCATCAATTATTAGTAACTTTAAGTAAAGTTTCTCCATTTCTATTACGGAATCGTAGGAAATTTCCTCTCCTTCCCAGGAATACTGACCGTACTCCAGAGAAATAACTTCAAAAGCTTGAAGACAAAGCCAAATCAGTTTTGGACCCCAGCTCATGGCATACGCCGACACAATAAAGACCATCATTTTAACAGCTCGAACCTTTGCTTCAGCTGCTTTCGAATTTATAACTTTACTTCTTGCGTGCTGCCAGAGACTTTTCAAAACCTTGCCGTATGCCACTGCCATAAGAACCAAAGAGATTAGAAATGCAAACACGAGAAACACACAAGAGGAAACTTGAAAAGGCAGGCCCAACATGGGCTGACATCTCTCCTATACTGACTCGTCCGTCAAATTCCAATCCAACTCACTGTATTTCACACTGTACAGGACTGGCGAGGAGCAAAATGCCGCGTACAGCCAAGAAATTACCACGACATTTCGGCTGTGTTTCCATGTAATGTTCCTTGCTTTAATAGGATGAATAATATGCACATAGCAATCGAAAGCCATCCCCAAAAGCAGTGTGAATGTTACGGCTAATGTGGTGTAGGAGAAAAACGCGCCGAGCTTGCAAACTACGTCGTTACCATGTGCAACAGCAGTGTTTTCAATGATAGTTAGCACCGGCGTGAAAACCATTCTAAAAATAATGTCAGTCAGCGCAAGATTGAAGAGTTGAAAGTTCGAAAAGTTCTTAATTAGTCTTTTCTGTCAGAGAAGAACACCACATACAGTGCAGTTAGTGATGACACCGAGGAAAGCCAAAAGTAGTCGAACTCCATCGGTAGCGATAAAAAATACATTGTACTTCTGATATTCAGCGTCATATTCTTCTGCAAAATTCAAGAAGCTATCTTCTGCACTGCCATCTTCACTATCGTTCATTGTGTACTATTGGTAAAAGGGAAAAAGTTCTCGACAAGTTACGAAGCCACACGTTTTACGCCGACAAGTTACAAGGCATCTCCATGGGTTACCGTGGAGTTTGGACAGTTTGAATGATGATGAGGCCTTGCTTTGAGGAAAAACCCATTCCTTCGGAGCGATTAACATGAAAACTAAATGAAGAACAATTTACCTCCTGTAGCTAAAGCAGGATCATTTGTATGGAAACAAAACCCTTGGGTTAAAGAATTCTGCAGAAGTTACACTTCTATAACTTCGCTTTTACCTTGTCTAAACGCGTTAATTGAAAAGAGAATTATGCACCTGTTTAAATATATACCAACACATTAAAAAAACCGATTTAAGATAAAGCCTATAAGATGAGGGCAGAGAGTAGTGGTGTCTGAGTTTGCTGTCGCATAACAAATTATAACAACTGCGACAGATTCATTATCATTTCTAGGAACAACAACTCTCAATGGCTCTTTAGCAAATTTACTTTTTTTAGTTTAAATCAACATGAATCAGTGAATGTTACTTCAATTTCCAAGTGCTTTGAGTTCCCTTTGAAGAAATTTTACTCTTAGCAGCTGAATCTACAGAGTCTTTTCACAAAAAGCCAATTTCTACTCATGACAAGTTGTTTACAATGGCCTAAGCAGACGAATCCCAACAGAGAAAACTTGACAAATTGTAAGAACATGTCGAAACTGAAAAAATTACAATTTGAACTAAATTGCCAGCATCCTGTTGACATTTCACTTTTATTGGACAATTATCTTCGACAAATGGCCTTTATATCAACAAAATCGAAAAAAAAAGTTCAATATGAACGATTTGATGCGTAAATCGCTGATGAAACAAAAACAGCCTCACATACGAATAGTCATTTAAGTTTGATATTGGACGATTTTTGTGGCTACTGCCTCCTCTAGGAGACAAGCCACAAATGTTTACGAGGTGAATGAGTGAGTGAGTGAGTGAGTGAGTGAGTGTAACAATAGAATTCCGATCTTAACCCAATTTTAACCTGATGTTTCCCGGCACTACTTATTGTCTCTTTTTTTTTTTTTTTAGGTCGGAGTATCTTAGTAGTTCGCATTCCCACTCGGTGCACAGATGTGTTCTCTCCATTAGTGATTTCTGGCTTATAGCCACTAGCACGTTTTGTTTTTCGGTTCTTGCGATAAACATTTCACAATCATTCAGGATTGTGCTCTATTTGTAAAAAAATAAAAGGTTTTCCTTGCAGAAATATCTTAATATATGTGATCGGTGCATCATAAAACTTAGAGTTAAAGTATTCAATAGAATGATGGAACGGAGGAACGGTGGACGGGCGGAATGGCGGGATATCTTCAGATGAGGAGTGACTGAATTTCCTAAGACGCCGAATGCCTTTTTGTATGAAACAAAAGTATCAAAAAATGGAATAGCAATACAATAAGAAAACTGTTTACAATAGGACAGGGGAACCATGATATTTTCGAGCTAGTCCCTTTAAATTATTATCATGTACCACTGTTATCATCATTATCATTGAATATATCATTATCATTTGTTACCATCTAATTATTGGTTGAATATGTCAATAAGACACATATTCTTGAATCATCTTTCTTGTGGCACGGGATGCTCATAAATACTTGAGACGCGGCGGGTTTTCTGTTTTGCATGCCATTGATTAAAACACATCAAGCGTTTTGTTTTAGCTGAACGTTTCAAATAGCGTGGCCACAAAACAGTCCTAAAACCCCTTGGGAACCAACTCAACTCATAAAATTACGTTAAACTTTTACGCACTAACATCAGTATGCATATTCTCCATACTGTTCTCTGTACATTTACTAAGGTGCTAATAACGAGGAGAATTTGTTTAACAGTCAAGATCTCATTTAGTTGATAATCATTTCCTTTATTCTCACTGATGGCCCGTTAATGTGTGATTCAGTGGTAGCTTTGTAGGGGGAATTAAAAGCTAGTAATGGCCCATTTCCGAATTACCCTTGGCCTCATTTTCAAAACGAGTCCTGGTGCTCATCCTTTCATATGATTATAAGTTTTCATTCACATGCAAATTAAACTCATTTTCACAAGAATGGTTGAGCACCAGGCCTCGTTTTGAAAATGAGGCAAAGGGTAATTCGGAAATGGGCTATTCTCAGGTGTCAAAAGGGGTAAACAAATTACGAATAACCTGGAAGCTCACCTGCATATGAGACAAGAACTCTGGGATCGGTCCTCAAACTTCTGGCAACATCTCTTTTCCTGGATTTCTGAACCCACGGAAGAATCATAGTGGGCGTAATAATGACCTCCTTGCTGATATTTCACAACCTGTTCAAAAAAATGAACAAACAAACAAATAGACTTCATTAATAGAGCAATTTCCAATTGAGTGTCGAATTTTATCCTAGATTGTTTAGGTTTTGCTTTCTTCTGCGCTGTTATTGGTAAGTAAAAAAATTGTAAAATTTTTCTAACCAATCAAAACAATATTAAAACATGTCACGACTTAGTCCCTTGCATCACAGGATACTTGCTTCCCTGAGAAGGACGGGGAGTAGAATTTATACCTCGGATCTAATCGAACACACAACGCACTCCCTCCCACGAACAATCATTCTTCGGCGAAGTCCGTCACGCGACTTAAACAATGTACGAAAAGTACCTTCGTGCGCCTCACTTCCAAAGCTTCGCGCGGCGCGCTAACAACATTTTTTTTTTCTTTTGCGCTGCTTTTTTTTTTACTCGCGCGACGGACTTCTCCAAAAAGGATCGACTGCTCGTAGTCTATGCGCTCCCCTTTGTAAGTCGACCACCCGCTGGAAGAAGTCTTGCTACGTGTGTTGCATGACAAAACAAGACAACGGTGCATAGAATCAAGTTTCATTGGCAGACAAAAGAGGTTTCTTTCTCACCCTGTTGTGGTCCAGGACAAGACCGAAATTTGAAGCTAAGAATAATGAGTAATTTTCAGGTTATCTTTACCTGTAGATCCTCGCTGTGTTCAATCTGCAACGTAGAGATCTGCGTCACCTCTGCCACTCTTCTTTTAATTCGCTCTAACACAGGATCTTTTTTGTTAAACTCCACCCAGGTGTGCATACTGTGTCTTTCGTTATAATAAGGGAATCGGTACATGTTGAAGAGACGGTACACAAACTCTACAAACTGCGTCCGATTCACCCTAGTGCAGTTCTCGTAGGTGATATATGAAGCGCCTTCGAGGAGAAGTGTCTCGTAAGCGCTCCACACATCCTTCAGGGTCACCAAGATATTTCTTGCGCGATATACATAATCATTAAACTCGTGCACAGTTATATTTCCGTCCTTATTCTTGTCGGAACGACTGATTCTCTTGCAGTAGATTCCCATTTGTCTGAATGTCAATGTTGAGTTCACACCCTCTCTCGTCACTCTCTCTCCTTTAAATGCAGGTGTGCTATCTTCGAGACCATTCGTGTTCGCTAGTTCTACCAAGGGATCGCATTCTTCGTCGCTTAGCACACCTGGGATTTCAAACAAAGGCGGCTTTACGCTTCGGGTTTTTAGCTGCAAGGTTTTCTCTTCATCAACTTGGATGGTTTGCACGTGATCCACGGCTACAGGATCTCTTCGTGGAAGTCGTACATCTGAAATGGCAGAGTATAAACCATCTCTGAAGCACGGAGTTTCTTCGCCGTTCTCATCCACACTGGGTCCACCGAAGCTACATGTTTCACCTTTGCTTGGCTTCAAATCCGATCCACGAAAAAAGACGAAATTACATGCTACTAAAAGAACGACTGAATAGTAGTATTTCGAGGGAAAAGACATAATGAGGTGATATCTGCCAAAGAATGACAGAGCAACACCCTCAAAGAATAACAAGGGTTGTTGTTGACTGACTGTGCTATCTCAAACTTATCGAGAACAAGCGCCGTTTGTTCACCGCTGCATGATAGCCGCACACAGGCTCTACTAAGGTTTTGTCATTTGATAGCGAGGAGTATTGAGTAGTGTGACTCGTAGAAACGCCACGCGAGGAGGAGGTCACGCGAGGGGCGTAAGAATGCGCAGTTCACATTTTCGCTTTGAGAAGGCCTATCCTGGAGTTGAATAGCTTCATGATAAAACAAAACAAAACAAAATAGAAAACGAAATAAAACTTCAGGGGGCAGTCGCGTTTTAAAACAAAAGTAACATTAGTTTCACAGGCTTGGTTTGATCAGAGGAAAAAATCCAAGATGCTTAAAAAATTCCATATATTTCCTCGATCACGAATAAGCGCCTTCCGTAAAAAAGCACCCTCCCCTTACCATCGTCCCTCACTTTCTTAAATAGTAGGGATACAAGGAGGACCTGTACCTATTTCCACTTCATCTTTGACTTCTGAAGCTTTAACTACAACGGAATCCTTACAGGAGAATGAGTTTTCAAGTTATTTTTTATCAGTCTCGGTGTTCTTGCTGTTCTTTTTATATTCGTCCTATTGTCGCGCTCTTGGTAAATGCCGTAAACTTCCCAGCAATAAATAGACCATTCTGTAGTCTCTTCGAAGACCAGTAAGCTCTAATCGGATATTAACAAAAGTTATCAGGACTCTTTTGAAGAAAACAGTTGATAATGAAAAAAGCCCCTCCCCCCCCCTCCTCTTTTGGGATACCCTAAACTTCCTCTACCGTCATTTATTTAGTTCTTATTAACCGAGCGGGTGGTCTATATGGGAGAATCTTGACCGAGGTCAAGATTCTCCCATACAGACCTCCCACTCGGTTAATAAGATGTTTATTATGCGGCTGTGTCTTATATACCAATTTTGTATATTCTTTGTACCTTTTTTTTTTAGACCGGTCTAGATGCCGGTCTATATGGGAAAATCTACACCGCTTTCAATATTGATTTGAGCCAATCAAATTCGTGAATTCGGTAGTTTCCAGTCCCTGTGCGACACAACCATATAATAATACGAGATACTGCGGATTAATGGATACCCTCAGAAAATGTGCACTTTTCTTTCCATTTCTCTCCCGCTTCCCGACTTTTCCTCTAACCCCTTCCGCCTCAAACGTTTTTTTTTTAAAGCTTTTCCACACTTCATCGACTTAAATGACTGAATGACTCTTTATTAAGACTCATTGCAGCAATATACAGAATGACTGAATTATAGAGCTATATACAAAACATATAATACTAAAATATAATACAATAAATCTAATAGATACTAGAAGTATAATTGTACAAGCCACTAGGTATACTTATGCGTGACAAACTCTTGCGTGCACTCGGTCCTACAAGTATAGAACGCGTGGAGTCCGCGTGGAGTCCGCGTGGAGCGGCTAATGCCAGATCTACGATCATTATAATTATGCACAACCTCCTCCTGTTTGGGGAGCATAAAATGCAAGGGGTGAATCTCATTCCGGAGTCTATCAATATAAACCTGGCATAGATGGGCGCGTCTGTCACCCAGAGTTCTTAAATTAAGGACATTTAATGCTTCGTTGTAATTCATTCAAGGAAAAATGATTCGCATAGCCCTTTTCTGAATGCTCTCAATCTTATAAGATAGAAAATCTGGTATATTTTGCCAGACAGGGGCAGCATATTCTAGAACAGGACGAACAGTGGTTGTATAAACCTTAGCCAGTGAAGTTGGAGGCGCACCACATTGCTTAATAGGGACCCTTAAAGAGTAAAGCCTCCTGTTTCCCTTTTGCACTACAACTTCTACGCGATGGTTCCATTTGAGGTCATTACTAATATAAACGCCCAGTATCTTATATGTCGTGACTCTCTCAACTGTACCAATTACAATAGGATTCACAATAAAATTATGATTACTCATAAAATTAATTAGCATTTCCTAGCATTTAGCAGGGTTCAATTTCATTCTGTGATCTTCAGAAAAAGCATAGATATCGTTTGTAACAAAATTGAGTAGACTGGCACTGTTCGTGGGGATTATTTCAAGGGCTGTGGTATCATCAACAAACTTTATTCTAAGGTTCCATGAGCGCAATAAACTATTTGTCACGACTGTAAACAAAATGACTCCTAACCTAGTGCCCTGTGGTATACCGCCCTTGGGAGTTTTCCACTCAGATATAATGTTCTCAATCCTCGCAGCCTGAGTCCTGTTTCACAGAAAGGCAATTATCCAATTAACTAGAACAGGGTGCACATACAAGTTCCTTAGCTCGTCGATCAGCACATTGTGATCAATCATGTCAAAACCTTTAGAGTAGTCAGCAAAGAAAAGCCTAGCACCACAACTCCCGGTATCCACTGCCTCATACACAGCCTGCAGCAAATAGACTAACGCGTCAGTGGTGGAATGTCCTGAACGAACAAACTCGGCTGACGAGGGTCGATCTGATGAGACACTTGTGTAATCAAGCGGTCACGTGTGAATCCCTCAAGCACCTTAGCAAAAGTGCATGTCAGAGCGATGGGCCGCAAATCGCTCTCTATCTGCTGCGGGGGTGAGATTTTAGGGCGGGTTGGGTTCAGCAGTGAGGCCCTCAAGGAATCAGGAAAATAAACCTCGATCAGGGAAGCGTTATAAATATCCTTGACAACTGGTGCTAGTTCTTGAGCGAACTCCTTCAGTACCCTGTTTGGGATGCAATCAGGACCAATAGCTTTTTCCGATCTTCACAGTTGAGAAGGCCTGGAAAGCTTCCTTCTCAGATACCAAGAATTCAGGGGGAACTTCCTGAGGGGCCAAGACTGGAGGGCTCTAGAGGTGTAAAATGATCTGTCAAACTGGTAAAAAAAATCGGGCAAGTTTTTCTTAGCACTACAGATGAAAGAATAGAGCCATTATTTTCTTGACAAGTCTCCTGTCGTTCAAGCCGCCATGCGATTTTTTCAATTATTGCTAAGGGCGAAATTTGCAAAGATAGCTGGAGTTAGGGGGATGAGAGAAATGCAACTCCAGCAAGTTTTTACTGACAAGTGTCTTCGGTAAATATTTTCCTGATGGAGCAATCTTCACTTGAGTGTCGAAATTAATCCAGGATTACACTGGTTTTGCTTTACTTCGCTCTGTGATTGGTAGACCGGAAAGCTCGCGCCACTATCGTAACCAATCAGACGCAAAACTAAAACCAATCACGACTTGGTCGCCCGCGTTTTCCCGCGCTTTCCCGCGTTCTAGGCACTGGTCGCTTTTACATTAAGTTCTCATTGGCTCTTAAGGGGATCTTCCTTTCTCCTGATTGGCCATTTACTTGGTTTTGGTTTTTACGAGACTCATTTGAAAAGCGCTCTAACTGCCATTGTAATCCGACTAATTACGATCTAAAATACTTAAGTTCAATCTATGAATTGCCTTCTTTTCTAAAGGGTGCGTTCAACCACACGTTCGCAATCCACTTGACCCCCTCAACGACGTCACATCCACCGTGTAACGACAGCAAATCAAGGTCACCCATGTGATCATCCCCGTCACGCTCTAGGAGATGGTTGTACCACACGACAGCTTTGCCTTTCTTTGGTTGGATCAGTAGATTAGCCTCGCGGCATCTTGATCTTTCATTGAGGGAATAGGAATAGTTTCTCGTGTAGAAGCGTTGAGGATCATCCGCCAGGGGAAACGCCGTTTCGCCACCTTTCGAGACATCGTTTAAGTAAAGGAGAATGGTCATGAACCTAGGAAAAATTAATTTAGAGGAGCTTAATTACCACAATAACCTTTTTGTCATGATGCCGATTTTGAAAATATTCGGATATCCGCAAAAGTCTGACAATCAAAGTGAAGTGGAACAAGACTTTTGTGCGCCGCTAAGCCAGAAATAAAAAAAAAAATATATTTAAAAAACTACAGTCGTTCGGAGCTGACTATGAGCTTCTACTGCAAAGCAGCTCTACTGCCGTAGAGATCCCGGGAAACTTGGGTGAGGGGAGACTAAGGGGAGTGAGTCCTAGTGCCAGGGTTCTCGCCAGCTTGTTTTTTTCTCTCTGGCTCTCTGCCTCAGTTGGTAAAACGTTTGATAGTGACATTAAGACAAAGTATACGGTAACTAACCTATTTTGCAGGCAGGCCCTTATTTTAAGAGTTGTAGGCCATGCGTTTCTCTCCTGGGCCCCCCTCTGGAAGATTTTAAGACGAGTCAGGGGGAGGTTTGCCGGGGTTCTGGCCCTAACAATTATCAGTACCATACCAGGACCTTTGCAAACTTCAAGCCCTCAAACGGGGCAAAGACGCTCTCGTACCGAAGCGATAACAAAGAAGGCTTACCCGCACGTCATAACGAACCGGGCGATTACAAACCTGCATAAATGGCAGTCTTGAGTAACTTGTCCATCACGGCAGCATTCCTTTAACCTGGCAGATCCAGGACCGTGTGTTGTGTCGTAATGAGCATTGTAGTGGCCTGATACAGAGTAACGCACCACCTGAGCATAAACAAAGCAGTTTTCATCTTTGGAGATCAAGAATTTTTTTTCCTCATGTTGCTAGTGAACGACATGCCTTGACCAATATCACCGACACTATAACACGTTTTAACCACTCAGAGGTGGAGCTTACACCTTTTGGGATTTTGGTGGCGCGTGTTATCACGCGAGTATGCCGCGCAACGAGATCGTTGCGTGACAGTCCATGTCTGCTTGAGGAGACAATTAGACCCGTTCTCTCGTGAGATCCCTGGTCAAAGGCCTTTGTATTTTCATAATAAAACTTACCTGAATTTCTTCACTTTTCTCTATTAGTGTTTTAGACAAGCCCGTAAGCTTAGCGATCCTTCTCTGGAGTGTTCTCACAATCGGCCTGTCTCTAGAAAGCACCGCAGATTCACTAAACCGAATAAAATATCGAGGATCTGATTTGAGTTTCTCGACCCGAAAAAGGAATTCGACGTAGGTTGTGTTAGTGACGTCTGCGCAATCCTTGTCATCAACAAACCCGTCTGAGTTCAAATCAAAAATAGAAAATATCGGCAATGCATCTTCCTTTGTCGGATAAACGTACTTCTCTCGATCCAAAAATCTCACAAACTCTTGTAGGGTTATTTTTTCGTCACGATCAGAGTCATAGACAGGTCGTTGGAGTTTCCTGCAGAGCATAGATTTTTCGCGGTTCAAATTTTTTGTTGCCATCTTCTTCTCCAATTCGTCCCTACTAATTCCCTCTCCTTTTCCGTTAGTTGTAAGACTGTCTGTGAGGTGGCTCCGTTGGGATAACTGAATGAGCAAATCGCATTCCTTGTGGCTTAGAAATTCGTTTATCTCGAATAACAATGGTTGCATACTGCGGGTGACAACTGGATGTGATTTATTCTCTTCGAGTTTCATTTCCCGAATGTGGCCGACTTTCACGCCATCGAGCCTCCCAAGGCGGAAAATTGCGTCCTGAGTCTTACGTTCCTCATTCTTCGTCGGGCAAATCTTAGCTTTAAGAAATTCATTTGCACAAGTTTGGGACCCATCTTGAGTGGAATTCGATCTTGACATTCCGTTTACAGCGCTCAGAGAGTTTATAAAGTAAAACTTGTGTACCGTCAGCAGGGCCAAAAAAACAAAATTTACTCGAGGATCGGCGAGACTAGAATACATGTCTTGATTTCACAGGAAAATGGCTAGAAAACCAATTTGACGGTCCCTTCTTGTAACGCAAGTCTCCTCATCAAGGCAGCTTTGTGTGGAGCTATCAATTAGGACGTACACGTTAAAGCTCGCGTGTTAAACACCGTCCACGTAAAGACATGAGGGCGCGGCAAATGAAGAGGCTTCCAGCTTCCGACATATGTAGTTTCTGTAAATGATGTGCTACACTTTAGAAATGAGAGACATGGACGGAAAAAAGCGTTTGTGTTCCCTTCTACCCCAATCCCTCTTTAAACTCTACCATGCCTTTCTTCTCATACTCCAAGTACCGGTGGAAGTGTAAATGCGAAACTGGTCGGACTGAAATAAGAGTGACTCGCCTGGAGATTTTCGAGAGTATGACAAAAAAAACAAAACAAAACAAAACAAAACAAAACAAAAACAAACAAACAAAAAACAATCAGGACTGTGAAATAGTGGAGATGAGCTCCTTCTTCTCCTTATCTCCTTATTTGGCCCGGATATACCCAGTGGCCTTAAAAATGTAGCAGATGGAACAATCTCTGTGTTCACACTTAATGATACTCTCCGAAGTTGTGCTATTAAGTGGAAAATGTTATTCCATGTTCCCTTCAGTTCGTTCACTTCAATCTAATCCCATCAGCCTTAGACCTACTGATAAACTCGCCATTACGCAACGGCATAAAGCTGGCTCCGTTCTTATCCAGAAACTCTGCGTTTGCTGTATTTTTTTTTTTTTCGCGCTTTGCCCTCGCGCATGAAACGCGCTTCGCGTTCGCCTGAAAAAAGAAAAAAGCAGATGAAGAAGATACAAGGGAGTGGCTTGGAGGTAATCCTTTGGAAAAATAGACGGGAGAGAACACGGCCTTTCAGCGACAAAGCTTTTTGATACCCCAAAGGTGAAAAGTAAGGGCGTGGCACATCAGAACGAGAACGGAATCAGCCATTGAGAGCGAAGATTCTCCAACAGTTGAATCCTGTACGATGAAGAATCTTGTGCAGGCTCTGTAGTCACTGATTAAAATGTGTACCAACAGTAATACTAAACACGAGGCACCATATATTTCACAACTGAAAATACGTACCACACCTGATCGCCTGATTGATCCCCAGTTCTCGTAGGCCTTCTGCATCAGAGTTCATCTTCCATAAGCACATAACACGGGCTGTGATGCTGTTACGGCAAAGAACTCTTCATACACTCTGTGTGGACTGTATGACATAAGTGTCTGATTGTAAATTCATCCAAGTCATGTGTTTGTTGGCTTGTACCGCCTCCTGGTTAGCTCAACTTGGTAGAGCGTCGGACTGTTGTGCGGGAGGTCGAGGGTTCAAGCCCCGGCCAGACTAACACTCAGGGTCTCAAAATGACTGAGGAGAACTTGCTACCTTTCTATAATATCAAGGAATGGATAGATATTCTAGTCTTCTCGCATAAGGACGAATAAATCGTAGGTCCCGTCTCAGTGCAGGGTTAGGGGTAGGAGACGTTAATTTCCCACGCACGAGATTACTGTGTGGTGGATGTCCTCCCCTGGGATGGGATGGGTGGGTATATCTGCTGAAGATGGACTGTATTGCCCTTTGCAGATTAGACATTTATATTTAGATTTAGACCCATTTTGCTCAATAGTATGTCTTGGAACGCTCCTCCAGAGCGTTGTGTGACATCCCAAGGAATGGCTGCGAAGGAGGTCACGCTTAACCGTCAGTTTTTGTGATATTCGTCACGAGATCCATCGTTCCCGTTCGTTTAATAGTCGCAGCTATGATTTTACAGATAATTTTCTCCTAACGACTTGCTATCTAAAGATAAAAATTTTCATTTTCAGGGTAAAAAATTCAATAAAACAAAAAAAAATAGCACTTGTTTGTTAATGTCTGTTTACCACGATTATATAACTGATCACTAGTACTCTACTCCGAAGTAAACCGCGAAGTATTCTGGGAGTTTCTTGTTCTCCTTGTCCAGTTGTCTGGGATTGGCAAGATGAAGTTAAGTCCAAGAGAATTAGAGGGTCTTTTGATACACCAAACTGGGTTTTTGGCTCAGAAAAGACTTGCGCGTGGTTTAAAACTTAATTTACCGGAAACTGTGGCTCTGATTGCTTCTCAGGTACTGAAAACCCGTCTGGTTACAAGCGCGTGCAAATGAATTTGTGATGCTTGTGTGCAAATATGGGTTCCTATGTAACATGCACGTGCATTTGGTTATAACCCCAGTACATACCTTCGTGTTCGATGATATACTGGTATGGTACAGGAACGTGTGCTAAATTTCAGCTGTTGTTACAAGTGCATAACATGTGTGTTAGTAACTGTTACTAAAAGCGATAACATTCTATTGTCCCTCACGCAAACACAACAAACCTCGCCTTCCACGTGCACTTTACTTCCAAAGAGCGTGAAAACGACATCTTTACTCTAAGAATATAATCAAAGTCTTCCATCCACACCAGTATACTTGTTGAATACTGTGTTGTTGAATTAGCTGAAATCTTGGAAGTCTGCTTTGGGTGGTCCATAGTTGGAGTGCACATTGTTCAGCTCTGTTCATTTTGTTGTTCAAATTTCATTTTACAGCTCAATGAATTCATCCGTGATGGAAAGACTGTTGCTGAGTTGATGAATTTAGGGAAGCAATTTTTAGGTCAGTTTTCTACATCCACTCTAAAGATTACAATCTTTAAAATATGCTTTTGTGACTAATATTGTTTGATATAAGGTAAACTTGTTAAGCCCTTACCCGTGGAAATAGGTTAAGTCTGTCCTCTAGCTAAGTGGCCCAGTCAGCCATATGTGTAGCTTATCCAGGTTTCAGTAGCGTGAAGAGACCAGGAGTATTACTCCCCCCCTCTTAGATGGGATGCTAGTCCATCATAAGGTTACCCCCCCAGCATTACATCAGGCTTTCCTGACAGAACTCGTGGGTGAAGAGAGGCACTGTGAGAGTAAAGTATTTTGTCCAAAAACACAACGCAATGACTAGACTTTCTCAAAGTTGTTCGCTTGGTTTTCTGTTCTGGTGTGGTAGGACCTACATGCTCGCCCGCACGCACGCTCGCTCGGCTTGGCTCGCTCACGCTTCGCGCTCACTGTCACGCTACGCGCTTAAAAGTGCAACTTGTGTGCAAGTCTACACAATGACCTGCTCAGGTCTGAAACCTCGACCTTTCAACCCAGTACTTCCCACTCACTTCCTTAGATGTTAAATCCGAATCAGGTGGGGCTTCCTAGGATGCTCATTAAAGGAAATACCCTTCAGCATTTTGGTTCATTCAACCTTTTGAAGTTTTTAAGAGCAGGCATTGCATATGATTTTTATCCCCATTATTTAACTTACCTGGTAACATTTTACATTGAAATAGCAGGTGAGGTATGACCCCCAAGAGTGACTAGAATATAATTTCTCCTTACAGTCTTACCCCTGAATTACACTTTAAGTCATGAGAATAAAGGAAATGATCACTAACTTTAAAAAGCTCTTGATTGTTATTCAAATTCTCCTTGTCAGCATCTTGGGTAGTGCATAGCTAGAGAACAGTATGGAGAATATGCATTCTGATGTTAGTGTGTAGAGGGTGAACACAAAGGTATTTTCCTCATTAGGTGTGAATCAAGTGTTACCAGGTGTAGGGGAACTTGTTGAAGAAGTGCAAGTGGAAGGCACATTTCCTGATGGCACTAAATTGGTGAGGAATTAACATGTACATGTAACTTCTCCCTATACACAAATGAGCAACATTGCCAAGTTATCCTGATCTAACACCAAAAACTTATAACTAACTTACAAGGGAATGTGTAGCAGCTAGAGGGGAGAATTCACAATCAGATCTTGAGAGTAATTAGGGGTTAAAATATAGTCACTGACTATGAATTAAATTACTGTCAAGTTATCTTTTTATTTTACATTTTCTCCCGAAATTATTGCATGTTGGCCTGGAGTACGCCATGCTTAGATTATGCTTATTATATTTGAAAATTATACCTTTATAAAATTCAGCTATCATTTTATCACTTCTCCTTTCAGATCAATGCCTGTATCTAAATGACTGACACCACACCCACCCCTCCCCTAATCCAACAGTCAACTGAGAACAACTTAGGATTATTGTTGGGTTAGTGGAGGGGTGTGGATGCACAGTTTCTCAGAAATTGATATTATTCCTTAAATTCTTTACCCTCAGGTCACAGTTCACAGTCCCATATGCCAAGAAAATGGTGACTTAAAACTTGCCCTCTATGGAAGCTTTCTTCCTGTGCCTTCAGTGGAGATATTTTCATCTGCAAGTGCTAATGTTGTGTCTATGGTGAGTACTGACGTGAAATTGAAATATTAATTAATAATTACAAACAATTACTTGTGAACAAATTATATCAATGAGCTCTTGAAGGGCTCAGTAATTAAGTATCCTCTTAATTTATAGTTAGAAATTTGTGCATAAGATTAAGTCAACACTTGAGCTTAGTGGCTCAGAATACTGAAGATTATCTTCATTTGGTATCTGTACATGTAGCATAAAACAATAATATTATGAATACTCCTATAATTTTAATTCCTGGAGGGGACATAATTTTGTTTTTGACATCTCTTTCTACTAAAACTAAATGATATAAATACGTAAAGTCTGTTTACGAGCCTAGTGGCCCATTAGGCCGGTACTTAACTCTGGTTTCTGTCGCATGAAGCGACTAGGAGTATTTCTACTCCCCCCTGGATGGGATGCCAGTCCATCGCAGGGTTACCCCCACGTTTTAAATTGCCGGTACCCATTTATACACCTGGGTGAAGAGGCACTGTGAGAGTAAAGTGTCTTGCCTAAGAACACAACACAATGTCCGGGTTGGGGCACGAACCCGGACCACTCGATCCGGAGTCAAGCGCACCAACCATGAGGCCACCGCGCCTCCACAAATGATATAAATGCTCATCTTTTATTTTAAATACTTAATATCATTTTTCTAGGGCGGTAAGAATTCACCTGGTGCCATGATTCCTTCTGTCAAAGGAGACATTTTATTGAATGCTCAGAGAAAGACCATTAAACTGAAGGTCACAAGCTTGTGTGACCGACCTATTCAAGTATGTCCTGTAATTGTCCATATATATACATTTCTACCACTATTGGCAGTAATGTCACAATCTGATTGGCCAATTTGCCATTGTTAATAAGAGTACAGACATTATACTGCTCACTTTAATGTGTCACACACTGAAAGAATTGTTTTATTTGACATCAATATTGTGGAAAAGATAAATCGACAGTGGCTTAGCTTGTTCTGTCAAAATTTGTTGCAACTCATTCAGCTGCACTTCGTAAGTCTACAACATTTTAACCACTGTGGTGACAAATATTGTTGTCGATAAGAGCTCAGACCACACTAAACCACTGTCAATTTGTTAAACATACATATTACATACATAATATAGTAAATACCTACACCCATATGTATGTATGTATATAGGTCCATATAACTTGTCTTAACTAATAATTTCACCCAACACTCAGAAATAAATGGATGAAAACATTAGAAATTGGTTTTTGGGTGAGATGGACGAGAGACTTCTTGAGATCAATTCCAAGTGCTTCATTTCTTGAAGAAGGCACAGTTGCTGCATGAATCAACTGATTTATAGCATTTTCAAAGTAGAAGTTGAGATGTCCAGAGGAGAGAAATTCCAAATGTTAGGCTTCACTGCATGTCACAGAATTACTTTGATAAATTTCCAAGAAAACCCAAATAGCTAGTTAACTAGATCTAAATAGCTAACTCAACTCCAAGGGACGGGTCCAGGGAGAGGATCCAGGAGGTCCAGACCCCCTCCCCTCCCCTCATCAGACTTGAGTGTTTTTTTTTGTACTTGTTTGGCACAAAAACTCTTGCATGAAAACAATTGAATGATTCTACCCAAGACTAAGTATTTAAAATTCAATTGTCGTGACATGTTTCTTACCTTGTTCAGGTTGCAGTCGGATAATAAAGAACTAATTAAAATCAGTTCTGTAGTTTGGCATTCTAAGTTTGGACCTCTATCAAAGATGTTTGGATCCATCCTTGTATTTTGCACAAATCTGATATTTTATTCCCCTCACAGGTCGGAAGTCATTATCATTTCCTTGAGGTCAACAAGCAACTAGAATTTGACAGGGCAGCTGCCTATGGTATGAGGCTGGTAAGGCTGAAATAGGTGACAAGAAGATCAGATCCAGGTTCTTATCTTTGATATAATATCAAATTGTCTCAACTAATTTGGAAGGAGAATGTGTGACAAGAAGAAAGGTGAATTGTATAAGTTAATGTTAGAGATAGAAGCAAAGTTTCCAAGTGATTGGGAACTGGATTTGAGATCTGAATGAAGCAAACTCCTTGATGCACGTGTGTTTCAATGACAACAGTGCAACAGTTCTAGAGAAGGAAATACATCGTGAACACACTACGTAATCAAAATGAGAGGCTATAGACATAACGTAAGGCACCGAATTTAAGATAACAAGCCTACACTTGTTGATTTGTGATCATTTTTAATTGTACAGAACATTGCTGCTGGTACTGCAGTCAGGTTTGAACCCGGAGACACCAAAACAGTTGAACTGGTTGATATTGCTGGAAACAAGTGAGCAAAGATTTTTAATTTTGGTAATGCTTGCACACAAAAGGATCAAAACTAGTCTTTGCTACTTGTAATTGAAAGTTACCTTGAAGCTCTCATTTGACTAGTTTTTACCCGCTTTTTAATAATAATTATGTTTAAGTCTAATACCACTTGCTCTGATGAAGGGCTAACTCTCAAAATGTCTGCCCGGCTATAGAAACTCTTTATGATGGCCAATGTTGCCAGCTTTGCCTGATCGTGCATGAATTTTCATTGGAGGAAAACAAAAGCCATTTCACTTGTAGATGCCTAAGTGATTGTCCAAACTGTTTTGTTGTCAAGTTTTCAGTTTTCATATTCTCAATTCCCTCCAAATTAATATCAAAGAATAGAATAGTGATTTAGGCATAAATATGTTGTTGGCCTGACTTATGCCAGAGTCATTTCAACCCTTGCTCAGTGGCTTGGGCTAAAATGAGTCAGAGTCTGACCCAAAACATATTTAAGCCCAGAACATAAAACTCCATTGGTTTTTTTAAGTGTCTTGCAGTGTACAAAATTCTGCTCAAGCTTTTCCCATAGTTGTCAATTTTTCCACTGATCTTAAAAAGATATCCTTTATTTCTCTTGCTAGAGTGGTCCGGGGAGGAAATGGACTGACAGATGGACCAGCTTCACCTGAAAACTTAGATGCTGTCATGAAGAAAGTTGCTTCAAAAGGTTTCGCTCATAAGCCACAGGTTTGTATATAATGATATTTAAAAACTTCTTAATAAGTGATTGGGTACTCGATCATTGGGAACAGTTAATTAATCTTTGAAAAACTTTGTGACTTAAGACTCAAAGTGTGTCTCGGAAGTCAGTGTAAGGAAAGTTAATGAGTTAAAATCTGTGACAGTGGTCTTTTAACTCTTTAACTTCCAGAAGTGCATGATTAACATGAAACTTCTCCCTATAATATCCATACATTATCCAACAAACATATAATGAGAATACTCAAACTTATCAGGTTGAAGTTGTTATCCTGATATAGCACCAAAGGGGAGAATTAGCAATCAGATCAATCAGATCAATCAGATCATGATAGTTAAAAGGTTCAAAACATGCTAAAAGAGGCCTTTGATCCAAACCCATCAAGAAAAACAAAAAAATTCACAATGGTGATCTCCGGAAGATATAGGAAAATCTATAACAATTACATTGTGGGATTTGTTACAGTACCCCCTTGCAATTTAAAATTTCATTCTTTCTTCCAAGGATTAAAAGCAGATAATATAAAAAATAATAAGTCGTAATACATGTCATTTCCTGGCCACATGCAGAATAACTTTAAAGTTACGGTGGCCAATTTACCATTTCAACTTTGTTGATATATCCAAATTATTTCATTACCCTCACTGACGCAGCCCCAAACAGTTTCTTTCGAAACTATCAGCTTTTATCAACTTTAAAGTTAAACAGGCAATATTCTCACAGAATAGTTATTAAACATTTATTAATTACAAATCTAAAATGACAGTATCATGAACTGTTTTCATTTGACAAAAGGATAAAGTTGACGCTGGTGTCAGTAAAGTGACCATCCCAAGACCACTGTACATTGAAATTTATGGTCCAACTGTTGGAGACAAGGTTTGTCTGTTTTGAACAGCTAACAATGAATTAAAAGTAATGTACAGGTAAAGAAATGATCCTCTCAGGTCACAGAGCTGCAAATTAAAGACACTGCAAAAAAGGGAGCTTGAATAAAATCTAAGCTTTGATGGGTTTATAGGCCCATGCATCCCAGATATTAGTTGGGCACTTCTCCCATTTCCTTTATTTTCTTGACCTTAATGTGCGATTCAGGGAAGATGTTTTAAGGAGAAATTAGATGCTGGTCACTCATTAAAGGTCAAAGGGTAAAATAACCCTAAGGGAGACCAGCATCTAATTTCTCCTTACAACATCTTCCCTGAATCACACATTAAGGTCACAGGAGAATAAAGAAAATGATCACCAACCAAAGAAGCTCTTGATTGTTCAACAAATTCTCCTTGTCAGCACCTTAGGAAATTTATAGAGAACACTATGGAGAATTTGTATACTGATGTTAGAGTGGAAAGGGTTATGATGTGCTTAACTAGTCACTAAATGGTGCAGGTTGCATTGGGGAGAAAAACATTTGTTAGGACAGTTTTACAAACAGTCTGGAAAGTTAGAAATTTTATTATTAATTTATAGATATTTATTGTTCCTCTCAGGTCTGTCTCGGTGACAGTTGTCTCATTGTTGAGGTGGAAAAAGATTATACAGTGTATGGGGATGAACTTAAATTTGGAGGTGGAAAGGTGAGCGTTTGCTTCTAATTGAAACACTATACCTTCAAGTTGTAAAAAATTTTTTGTTGTTCTTGGAGTGATCTGTGTATGAAACATTTTTTTTTGGGGGGGGGGGTAGTATGGAAAGGGGAACAGAAAGATTTTTTTCGTCTAGTCTTGAGCATGGGATATTGCTGATCCTAGCAGTATGCAGGGTGGGTGTCAAATATGAACTTTGTGGTGGGCCTTGCTCACCATAGAGGCTCTGTGGCTCAGTGGTAGAGCATTGAAGAGTAGAAATTCTAAAGTCTGGAGTTCGATTCCTCATGGGGTCACTCAGAACTTTTTGCTTTGTTCTATGCATGTGACTCTGAGAGAAAAAAAATTTTTCTATAATTTTCTTTACCAAGCTCAAAATTACTTACCATCTTTCTTAACATTCTTTCTTGGAACGTTTTGTTAACAACCAATTTTTTGTTAGAGGACCAGTAAGATTTTCTGCTTCTTGTTGTATAAACTTAATTTTTAATTTGTGAGAAACATCATGCATATGCCACTCTCAGATTTATACATATATCTTTTTACCCAAGTGCGAGGGCCGTACTTGGAGAATATCCGCCCAAGGTCTTGACAGTACGGACAGAGCACAGCGAGGTCCGTACAGTAAAGACCGAGGGCCGATATTCTTCCAGTACGGTCCCGAGCAAGCTTGGTTAATAAGAGATTTATTATATGACTGAAGTTCAAAGGGACACAAGTGCGGTATCATTCGGGACCATTCAGGACAGTGCCCAGTCCAATACTTAGAGAATATTGGACCGGCAATATAGAGCATTTCGATTGGTTGATTTTAGTTATTGGCCCTATGACTGCCTGAGTCGTGTAATAAACACTTTTATTATCAGTGAGGAAAGTTCTTGTCAGCTGTAAGAATTTATTAAATTGATGTTTTATCCTTCCTGCAGGTTTTGAGGGAAGGCATGGGCCAGGCAGCAAATGTCACCAATGATACAGCACTTGACACTGTTATCACCAATGCTCTGATTGTGGATGCAGTTGCTGGAGTCATCAAGGCTGATGTGGGAATAAAGGTGTCAGTGCTACACTACTGTAACGTTACTTCATATTGCAAACTTAATATTAATTAAGTAAATTGAGGAAAAGGAAAACAGAAAATTTTAACTACATATCAAAAGAGTGTGAGTACTACATGGGGGAATTTTGGCCTGAGGTCATGGTGGCAGTACAGACCAAGCATAATGAGGTCTGTAACAAAAATGACATAGGCCCCAATATTTCTCAATGTGGCTCAAGCAAGTGAGGTTAGAAAGCCATTTATTTTATGAAACTTAAACCAAACTTGTTTATCTTCAATTGGTGGGCTTTCACAAACAATGATACCCACCTCAGATTTACCTCTGGACTACCTTATTTACCACATACATGTAATAAGATAGTTATTTCATTTCTTTCAGTATAATTTTGAGTGGTGCAGTAGTGTATAACAGTCCTGCAACTATACTGCTGGGGATCTGACATTTTCTCATATTTTTTTGTTACAACATGCTTAGAATGGTATGATTTCTGCAATTGGAAAAGGTGGTAACCCAGATGTAATGGCAGGTGTCACAAAGGTTGGTTCAACTCCATTATTATGATTATACGTTTATGATAATTTATGATAACATAATTATTTTTGAGAAATGAGTTGTAATGCACATGTAAGCATCTCCTTGTAGATACCTGGGCACTATATAAAATCTCAATAAAATATTATTAAATTCAATTCTTTGACAGTCATACTGACAGATTTAGGGGTTGCAGTACTATATAGCTTCCTAAATATTCCTATAAAAACTTTGCTGAAATACATGTACCTCAGTCTGTAAAACTAAGCTAATCATTAGTTATTTTGTGTTAGGGGATGGTTTGTGGTGTTGGCACAGAGGTCATAGCTGGCGAGGGACTCATCTTGACTGCAGGTGGGATTGACGCACACATTCACTTCACTTGCCCACAACTTGCCGAAGAAGCTATCGCATCTGGACTTACCACCATGGTTGGAGGGGGCACTGGTATGAAGTTTTGTTCTAAATATAAAATATGCTGACATATTAATTGGTAGGCCTTATTGAAGAAGATCCTCCTTTTTCCTTATCCTGGTGAACCATTATTTATCACTGCACCTCATGGCCATCATGTTATAATTTTTGTCAAAACAGATTGAGTAGTTTGGGATGGGAAGTTTTTTCGGAATTTGCTATATCATGCAGAAGGACTCAAATATACAATGAAGGTACCGGTATCCAGAAAGAGTGTATTAAACTCGATCCGTTCCTGTCAACAAGAAATTCAACTGGCAGCTGGTTATTAATTTTTTGGTAATCACACTGCTCAGTCATCAAAGAATATACACTGAATGCTAATTATCAAGTAGAGATCTAACAGTCAAGGTATTTCTTGATTGCCAATGACGACATCTATTTGTACTCAAATTATTAACTAACATAAAAGTGATTTTCTGTTCTTCACAGGTCCTGCGACAGGTACTTGTGCAACAACTTGTACTCCTGGGCCAAACCACATCAAGTGAGTTATATGAAGAAGATGGGATTAAGATTTACACTTCACCCTTAAATAAATGAACCCGTTAACTACCAAGATCTGACTGATAATTCTCCCCTCTAACTGCTATATATTCCCTTGTAAGTTAGTTATAAGAAGTTGGTGTTAGATCAAGGTAACAACTTCTACCTGATAAATTTGAGTATTCTCATTACCTGTTTCTTGGATAATGTATGGATATTATAAGGAGAAGTTACATGTTAATCACCTCAGGGAGTTAAAGAGTCAACTGATTGTCTAACAATGGTTGCAGAAGTGAAAAGATAATTGAATGTCTTTTTCAGGGCAATGATTCAAAGTACAGACGGCTTCCCTCTTAACTTTGGGTTCACGGGTGAGCTGAGTTCTGTTTCAGTGATTCTTCTTTCCTTGAATTTTCTATAATGTGTTAGCGAGGCTTATTCTGATGATTGCAATTCAAAATCAATCCTGTTTTTAGGCAAGGGAAACACTTCAAAGTCTAGTGGGGTAGCAGCAGAGTTAGAAGAACAGATTAAGGCTGGTGCTATTGGGTAAGACTCATTTCTGCGTACAATATCACCGCTGAATCATTCATTAAGGTCAGTAGAATAAAGGAAATGATCACCAACTGAAGAAGCTCTTGATTGTTAAACAAATTCTCCTTAGTGGTACCTTAGGAAATGTATAGAGAACAGTATGGAGAATATGCATACTGATGTTAGGGTGTGATTGGATTAATAAGACATGGAGAAATTCTGCAAAAGAACAATCGGCGTTCTATACGCTTTGAGAGTGCATTTTGCCCTTTGAATATAGGTGACAATTAAAGGAAGCTAAATTTATATGTAAAAGGAAAAAGTATACTGATGTTAGGGTGTAGTTGGATTAATAAGGCATGGAGAAATTTCTGTGAAAGAACAATCAGCTTTCTATAAGCTTTGAGAGTGCATTTTGCCCTTTGAATTAGGTGACTTAAAGGAAGCTAAATTTATGTGTAAACTAAGGGAAAAATTAGACTCTAAAATTATTTTAAAGAAAAAAATTGAATGATAAAGATGTTGTCCTTTTTCCTCCAGAATTTTACTTTTTGCTAAAAAACCTGACTTTTTTATCACTTCAAACTAACGAGTCAGTGTTCATCTAACTGTTTTTGTTTGCAAAAGCTTAAAACTTCATGAAGATTGGGGAACAACTCCTGCTGCAATTGACTGTGCACTGACTGCTGCTGAAAAACATGATGTGCAGGTGAGTATTTTAGCAATTATTTATTTTAGTAATTAATTGATATTTTTTGTACAATAATTTTTAATGATAATATTGTTATCAATTCTACAATGCTTCAAATTTCATTGATTAATGGTCATGATTGTGATTCCAGAAATAGTGGAATAGCTAAGGGAATAATTTATTCACTTGCCTTATTAAATACCTAAAGAAAATCACCTCTCTTCAATGAAAGTGATACGAGTTGAACTGTTGATGCAATAATGGGTGAAAATTCTGATATGCTTGTGGTTAGATTCAACTTGGAACAACCAGATGGCATGCATATGGGATTCACAAGTATTCTTGCTCCACCAGAATCACAAGGAATATTCTGAATGTTTTGGAGTTATGTTAAACTTCCTGTATGACTTGACTAACTTGTGTTCTTGTTGCTTGTTTATGGCTGTAACTGAAGCAGTTGTGATAGTGACAAAGGCAAAATTTACAATGATGAGGAGAACAATTTTGAGTTAATCTGCAGTCCATTACTATTTTTTTTTATTATTTATTTGTTTCATTTTCCTTGGTGAAAATTCTGTCAATAGTTATGATTATTTCTGTTTGTGTAGATTACCATCCATACTGACACACTGAATGAGTCAGCTTGTGTTGAACAGTCTGTGGAAGCTTTTAAGGTGATTGTATAGCTCTGATGTTGTTGCACACTCACCATCAGTATACAAGGCTGCATTTACATGCTTTTTGGGTGGAAACAGAGGTGGTACGAGTTGTTGCCAAAGGGGTTTAAAGGGGGGACTGTAGAGGATTGACTGCCGATCAGGAAGGGATTATTGGAAGACGTCAAAGCCTTAGTGGGGATCAGTTAAATTTAATTGTGATTGACACAACCAAAATCTCCAGACCCCCTCCTCCCCAGGCAATAAATAATCACCAGTCCCTCAGTGAATTGTTTTAGCATCTCTCAAACCCCACTCAGTTAATAGAAAACTTGATGCACTGAAGCTGCAAAGGTCACAGCTTTGACTTTAAAGCATTAGACAAAGTACTTCCTAAATGAGTTGGTAGCATTTTCTCTCTGCCAAAACCAAGCATACTCTGTTATGGAGAGAATCACAGAGGGAGTGATGCATTCTGATGAAAACCAAAACACATTTACTTCCTGTGCTGGAAAGGGGCTTGACTCCTCACTGTGATCTGTTCTTTGCAACTATTAGTGTTCCGATCCGTCAAGCTCTGATCCATTACCCAAAAAATAGAGGAGGTCAGAACTCTTCTTCCGCAGTGTAACCGGGTTTATTGAAAATAAACGTTTAGGTGAAACTAGAAAGCGTCTTCACCGGAGCACCTACAAATTACAGTTTTCTTTTTTGACAGCATGCCTCTGCTATCCCACAATGCTTAACAAACCAATACGTGAAAACGTGTAACGCAATGAGTTACGCGTGACAGAACAATTAGACTTTCCTGACCACCACAGTTGTCTAACATATCTGTTTGTTTCGGGTGACTGTAGGGTCGAACAATCCACACCTATCACTCTGAAGGCGCAGGTGGTGGCCACGCCCCTGATATCATTAAAGTGTGTTCTGAAGAGAATGTAATTCCATCATCAACCAACCCAACCAGGCCATTTACCCGCAACACCATTGATGAGCACTTGGACATGCTGATGGTTTGCCACCATCTTGACAAGTACGGTCTCAAATAAATTATATATGAAATAAATCATAATTATTTACATTAAAAGTTACATTTGGACAATTATAACCAATAAACCAATTCATAAGCAGGGAGTAGTGAACATGGAAAAGTTTCCCTTCCCTCCTTTCCAAAAGGTGGCTTTGTAGCTCAGGTACAGGTTAATCCATTAAACCATCCACTCCCAAGATCTCCTCAGTAATTCTCCCTACTGTCTGTCATACATTTGTTATCATATGAGTTTGGAGAATTTGTTATTGGATCAACTAATTATCCCCTTATTGAATTGAAAGGGTTTACATGGTTAGTGAAAAAGTGCCTCATCAATTTGTCAAAAATGTTTGTAAATGTATCTTTTACTTTCAATTATTTTTCACAGTCAAGTATCTTTATTCTGTTATAGTTTTCTGTTTAGAAAGTTTGTGAAATATTATTTTTAAAATAGGAGAATGATGAAATGTTTTTGTTCAGAAATCTGAAGGAGGATGTGGCATTTGCTGAGTCTCGTATCAGAGCAGAAACAATTGCTGCAGAGGATATACTCCATGACATGGGAGCCATCAGCATTATCTCTTCAGATTCACAGGTAAAGACCCCATACATAACTCTAACTAACCAAGCTGGAGGTTGATACTTTAAGTAACAGACCGGGTTTTCGCACTTGGATTTATGGCCAAGTGCAAAGCCTAGGCTATAAATCTGAAAGGAAAAATGAGGTTCCATAACTTACAGTATGGACAGAGAAAAAAAGATCTGTAAGATTTTTGTTATATCTTAAACTGGAAACAAATTCACTGACTAAATTGACCAATCATAGCCCATGTACTCACTGAGAGGTACAATAAGCTTGCTTCATACACCTTTTTTTTGAGGTAAAAGACTACAAATTGCTCTCACCCTACAGGCTCATGCAATTGTGTTGTCTTTGAAAAATTTACTCA